GGAGCAGAGAGGGAAGCTTGGCTGAGCCTCAGTAACCCGGGATTCTGGGGGGACCACCCTCTGAGGGCTCCCCCCACTGACCCAGGGCTCTGCTGCCTTCCGGGGTCCTGGGACCCCTGGTTAGGTCAGATCTTTGGCCCTGATCTGTCATCCATCAGCAGGGTCTCTGTGTGGGTTCTTTCTCCCTGCTTCTCTTACTCAGGCAGTTAGAGCAGAAGGAACTGACGGTCCCCTTGGAGAGCTTTTAGTCCCTACCCCCAGGGCTTTCTGGGCTGTTTAACACTTCTGTGATCTTCTCTCTTTAAAAAAAAAAATATTTTTATTGGCAGTAAATAACACCCGACACAATTTACCCTCTTAATTGTTGCTGAAGGTACACTTCAGTAACGTATGTTCCAGTTGTTGTGGGGTAGAATAGTTTTAGATTTAAACCAGTATGCACTTCAGTCTTTTCTGATCAGGCTAAGAATTATTTTTATTTAACATATTATTAAGTATGATTGTCAGACTTTTTTCTTTTTTTCTAATTTTTCAATATTAACAGCGAACTAATTTATTTTATTTAGAGTTGATGTAATCCCTGTGCCTTTCATAGTGCAGTCTTTGATACTTCAGTGTGCTTTAACCCCACTGTGGTACTGTCTTTTTAGGAGTCACAGTGAACACTTTCATCAGTCAGCCGTTGGGTAGGACGTTGAAGACTCTTGGAGCTGTTGTTTGGTGAGGTCATTGAGGTGCAGGTGCTCAGTTTCCTTAATCTCCAAGTGAGACTCGTGTGCTTCACTGAAGGGCCCACGTCCCCAGTCTTGGTTTGAAATTGAACTGGGATTGGGCTCGGCACCAAACCCTAGTGGCTAAAGTCCTTACCTTGCACACACTGAGATCCTATATGGGCACTAGTTTGTGTTCTGGCAGCTCTACTTCCCATCTAGCTCCCTGCTTGTGGCCTGGGAAAGCAGTCGAGAATGGCCCAAAGCCTTGGGACCCTGCACCTGCACAGAGAATCGGGAGGAGGCTCCAGGCTCCTGGCTTTGCATTGGCTCAGCCCCAACCATTGCGGGTACTTGGGAAGTGAACCAGCAGATGGGAGATCTTTCCCTCTTTCTCTTCACCCTGTATATCTGACTTTCCAATCAAAATTTAAGAAGGAAAGAAAGAAATGAAACTGGGACTAAAAGCATGAAATGGGAATATTAGGATCTTTTGTTGTGTTGATGGAATGAATATTTTGGTTCAATGATTTTTTTTTAAAGGAGAGTTTTCTGTAGTAATTCTGTGGGGGAAAATTATAAAGGATGTCTTCAAAATCAGCTTTTTAAATTGAGTAAATCAAGATATTTTGAACTTTCAAATTGGGCGATATGAAATATTTGGGATATGTTTGACTATGAGCTGCAGTTACTGCTGCTAAAATTACAACAGCAAATTAGATGCCCAAATTTTTGTTACTGTCCCAAAACCTCTTAAATAATATTAAATCATTCTGTTTCTGTTGCTGAGCAGAGATGATTAGGCTAACAGATGAGCAAGTTAGAAAAATAATCCTTATTACTCATACCCACATTAAGGCCTGATTTATTTAAAAAAACAAGTGAAAAATTCATCTAATTTGATGCTGTATGGGGACCATCATCTTCAGTTAATGATCGCTTCCAGAAGGTTCATGAACCCCTGCAGCTGTGTGTAGTTTGTGGTGTGAGTATATGTGCCTGTTCCTGGAGAGAAGGAATTCACCGTTCTTCAGATCCTGAAGAGCTTTTGTTTCCAAAAAAAGTTACCAACTGTTGTCCCAGAAGTCACCTCATCCATTTTCCTGTTTCCATACAGACTGCAAGGCACAGCTAGGTTTCTTCCAGAAGTAGTTTGTGTATTAACTAATTGTTTTAGAACTTGGATTGCATTTTACATGAAAATATACATACACATGTATGTTACTTGTGTAAATATAGATATCTGCCATTTGTACAAATATAATGGAACCTTCACAATGAAAGTACAAAGACAAACGAGATAGACGTCCGGGACTCCAAATAGTTTATGACCTAGCCTAGGGCAGAAAGACACGTACAACATCTTCAATTGTGACAGGACACGTCATTTGCCAGTGACCTTCCTGTTCATCTTCCTGAAGCTGAGTATCGGGGTTAATTCTGTCTCGGCACTAGAGCTGCATTGCCAGAGGAAGTGGAGCGGCGGGGAGGGAGAGCCTAGCCATCCGGGATGCAGTAAGAAAGGACAGAACCATCCTCTTGCAGCAGGTGGGGCGTCCAGGACACCCACAGACGGATTAGGTGGCAAGGAAACCTGGGAACTTACCCTAATTTAAGGCAAAAATGAGACGAGAGGACTCCCTGTTATGGCTTGGATCTCAGGTTTCCAGGGCCCAGTGCTCCCTGCCCCCCTTAGAGTGTCGTTAGCGGGTGCCTCTGGAGCTGGTGAGGGCTGTACACCATCGTCTCTGCTTGGATCCTTCGCCATGGAGCTCGTCATTCACAGAGTTAGCCAGAACGAACTTCTCGCTGGTAGCGACCAATTGTGTTTTAAGTGATTGCAAGTCTGTGTGTTTCCCCCTCTGGGCTCCAGCAGCTACCTGTTTGTGTCCCCATTTCCTTTCTCACCTATTTCCTAGGTGTATGTTTCCTGCCTCAAACATTTCTGCTTGCTCTGTGCACTTAGGATGAAAAGCAGACTGCCTGCCATGGCCAGCTTATCCTGGCTTTGGTCTCCCATCACCTCATCTCTTGATCTTCTCCATCTCCTCCAGCTGTTATTTGCCCTGACAGTGGCCTGTGGATACTTATTTACTTCTTCCAGGAAGCTCATAATTTGATGCCTGGCAAATACTCTCTGAACTTAATAGCATAATGATATCATAATAATAACACTTTGTGCCACTTACTGAATGTTTTCTCGAACCCAGACAGTGTACTAAGTGCTCTCCAGGCATTATCTTGTAATTATCTTATAATTAAGTTAGTTATAACAAGCCTGTGAAGTTGATGCTGTTCTTGCCGGTTTTGACAAAAGGAAAGTAGAGCATAAAGAGTTGCAGCGACCTGTCTAAGTTTTGTGCCATAAGGTAGAGCCGTGCTGGAAGCCTATCAGTCTCATACGAAATTGGCTCTTTGGTGTAGAAGTTTTAGTATTTTGTTATTAAATTACAATCATCTGAACAGTATTTTCTGAGAGACACTCTTAGAGTAAGCTGTAGAGTATGGTGCTTAGGGAAATTGCAAGTGAATATCAGTGTAGCAAGTACCCTTAGTGGAGGCGCTTCCCTTGTCTTAATGTTTCACTTGTTGATGATATAAAGCGTTATGGTGCAAAACTTGGAAACAGACTCTGGGATCCAGAAGATTTTAATCTCAGCATCTGCCATGGGTTCTTCCAGATCGTACCCTTACTTGTGCTAGATGATGTTCTAGGCACTTGAAGTGTCAGCGTGTAGTCCACTGTGATGACTTAAAATGTTAGTTCTGTAAGCTGCTATTTGTTGTGATGTTACTACCCTCACTGACCTAAGTGATGTGTTCCATCTCTGCTCCCATTCCAGCAGGATCTATCTGAACTAGTCTTCATGACATGTACAGTGAGGACAATGTTAAAGGGATACTCTAGGAAATTTTCTTCTTCCCTTCCAATGAAAATGAAATGCTAAGTCTAATGTTTTTCAATATTACATTCTAAAACCTTATATTCTAAAAGAAGTGGCACAAAAAACTGTGAAAAAGAAAAAGAAGTGGCACAATGAATGTGATAGTAAATTACATTTTATATTAAATGATGGAAGGCATTTGGTGGTGGGGGTGGGTAATAGGATCAGAATGGAGGACGTATGGAGAAAAAGTACAAGTCGCACTGTTAGACTGGTCATTTTGCAAAGATCAAGACTTGGAGGAGGCTGAAGAATTGGTTAGAGGCCAATCTGAGGGCAGAGTAGATCAAGAGGAGAGAATAGATTGTGTCCAGGCCTGAGGCATGAGCATGTGCCTCTGTGAAAGCCAAGTGGCCACTGTCGGTAGATGGGAAGAGAGCTCCTCCACTGCATTCCCGGGTCACAAACAGGGATGGGAAGTGGAGCCGCTGGCACCCATATGGGATCCCTTGCATGCAAGGCGAGGATTTAACCTCTGTACCATCACACTTGGTCCATTCACAGAGTTTGTAACACACAGAATAGGCCAGAGCCAGAGAGCCCTGTCTACCTGTGTAGCCACATCTATGATCCCCCTTCTCTTCTCCTTTGCTGCATTTTTAGCAGAATGTTCTTTAAAGACTCCCAAAATAGCTGTTCTGTTTTAAACCTTGCACGTATCTAGCATGCCTTCTCCCCGTTGTGTAACTCTGACAAACCCTTTCAGGACCTTGTCCGCTGGGAAGAATTGTTTGACATCCACTGGGGCAGGTCCCAGTGATTGTCTAGACCAACACGTGAAGCTCTTCATAGCTTTGTTTGTTATAATAAAAATAGGTGTGATAGCTAACATCTACTGTGCACTTGCTATGTGTCAGACTCGAAGTCCTTCCTGTGGTTTTCATTTATGACTTACTGCAGTCCTACATGATGGTATTGTTTTGTCACCCTCACTTTACAGATGAATAAAGAAAGGCATGAAGTTTAGTGACTTTCCCAAGATCCCCTAGCTATTAAGTGATGGTGTTTGGCTACAGAGCCCGTGTGTTTTCCTAGCCTTTGCGCTGCACTGCACCTCTCCCCTCATCATTCAGTTATGCATATAGAAGGTGGTGTGCACATAACACTTGGCAGCAAGTACAAGTTTGTGCATATTCATACCATTTATGAGTTCTTTGAGGGTAAAGGACCACGTCACATTTGCTTTTATTCATTTGGGGTTTTGCATATGTATTGCCATGATTCAGCTACAATGAGAATCAAATATCTCTCAGGTAATTGATAAGACATGGAGAATGTTATTTAATTAACGATAAGATGTAATTGACTCTGAATTTCTTAACCGTGTGCTTATGCTCTTCCCCAGACCAGTATCAAAGAGGGACAACTACTGAAGCAAACCAGTTCTTTCCAAAGGTGGAAAAAGCGATATTTCAAACTTCGAGGCCGTACACTTTATTATGCAAAGGATTCAAAGGTAATTTGGAGGAGTGCTGATTTCAAACACTGAGGTTGTAGATGAACTTAGCATGTTGGTTCTTTGAACTGTTCTTGTCTTGGGGGGTGCCTCTGGGATCACCTAGGTCACTCCCATCCCAGGGAGTTCTATTTGGATTAGTCCCATGATGTGTTCCTAAGAATAATCCCATTGGAGATTGATACAGCCCCTCCCTGTTTTTCTCTCTCCCTTCCAAATGAAATAAAACAAAATGTAATCAGAATAAACCCCAAGTCTTACGTTTTCCCCCTTTCTGCTACTTTTTACTCTAGAAAACTTTGACCATGAAAGTTGCTAGAGTTGCCAAGAATTTGTGCTCTGGACTCAGGCAAGGGTTCACGTGCTCACCCAGCACATTGCAGCGGAGTGGCTGTGGACAGCAGTTGTTGACAAAAGGCTTAGAGAAGATGATGCATGTCGAGCACTTACAAGGTCTCTGACACGCAATCCATTATGCGAGCCATTAGCAGTGGAAATAATATTAGAGACAAAGTAATTTCATATGTCACTTAAATAAAATGATACTGCACTTTTGGGAGAAAAGTTTATGGTGATAAGCCTCCGTTAAAACCAATGCTTTAGTAGAACTTTAAAAATAAACATTTGAGGGTGGGCATTTAGCCTGGCACTTCATATCAGCACTTAATATTCCCATATCAGAGTACGTGGACTCAGTAGTCAGCTCTGGCTCTGATTCCTGACCGTAACCTCCTGCCACTATAGACCCCTGGAGACAGTGATTCAAGTCACTGGGTTTCTGCCAACCACATGCAAGACCTGGACTGAGTTCCTGCCTCTTCATCCCAGCCCCATCTTGGCCTTTCTGGGTGTTTTAGAAGTTAGCCAGTGGATGGGAGCTGGCTCTGTTCTGCCTGTCTCTCTGCTTCTTAAACACAAGATAAAATAACGTAACATAGAATAAACATTGAAAGTCTTTGCTGTTGTACAAAATAAATCATTTTCATTTTGAAAATTTTACAGTCCTGATATAGTTAGTAGAGTTGTAAGCCACAGGGTAGGACAAATAAACTGAACTAATTCTTAGTTTATGAAGCCACAGTGGAAGCACTAACAAAATGTTTATGTAGCGGTAATAACCAAATAAGATAATCTTATTTTAAAAGTCATTATGCTCAGAGCTGCCTCTGACCTGGCTCCATTCCGACTCAGCAAGTTGGTTGTAAGTGACACTGATTGATGACCTCCAGCCTTGGCCTCTTTTGTTTCTATTATTTCTTTTCACTTTATTTGAAAGGCAGAGACAGAGAAAGAAAGAGATAATTTTTCCATCTGGTGGTTAGTCCCCAGCTGCTCACAGAGGCCAGAGCTGCACTAGGCCAAAGTCGGGAGCCTGGAACCCAGTTTGGAAATTCTGTGTGGGTGACAGGGACCCAACTGCTTGAGCACCTGCTGCTCCCGGGTGCACTTTAATAGGAATCGAGAACCTAAAGCAGGTGGGCCAGGACCCAAACAAGGTACTCTGAAGTGGGATGTGGGCTCCCTTAGCAGCATCATAACTGTCAGGCAAAATGCCCATCCTACATGTCCTTTTGATGGAACTCCCTACTCTTTTTAAGGTCTGCCTCAAATAGTTTTTCTTCTAATCCTCACAAAAGGAAGTTTATTTTGTTTTCTTCTGCTAGAGAAATCATCTGTGACATTCTGTGAAACTTTGCTGCCATTTCTGCTCTCCCACTTTTAGGAGTCTAGTAGATGGGTTGAATCAAATAGACTAGCCTCACCCTTTGGAGATCCTTGGGGCTGGGATGCCTAGGGCTGACTGTAAAAGGGAGCCCCCTTTCCTACAGTTCTAGAGTTGCACTGTTACGCCTTCCTTGCGGGAAGAGTCCTGAAGGAGTGTGAACCCTGACTCTCTGATTCAGTGTGGCAAGTTACATTTACTGTGGGAATGTCTTGATTTGCTCACTTGCACATTTTTTACCACTGATCCCCTTTAGTGGCTAAAGTCACTTTTAAGAAGAGAAAGTAGCGACATCTTTGTCTGCAGAACATACTGTCCTCTGCATTGAATGTATGCTTACGGATGAGTAAAAGCAGGTTCCAAAGTTTCAGATACTCACCGTGTTTTCAGTTGTCACTTAGTGAGCCTGGGGACAGTGACCTGCCTCTGGCTCCCGGGCAGAGTGGCTTTAAGCTTTCCCGGCAATGCCTCATGTGGGGATGTGCAGCTCACTCTGCACGCTCCTCAGAATTGGTAGCTGTTTTGCTTCCAGAAGGTACAAGATATTTGCTCTGAAACAGTGGATGTGGTAGTGCTGGGGGTTGGGAACAGGGCTGAAGTCTTTCCAGTTTGGGATTTATGGATTTGTTATGCTGTGTGGTTTTGCTCTTGTTTCCTAAGAACATACTATGAAGTAGCACTAATTAGCTTTCCCTGTGTTTCTAGTCCCAATTCCTGACATACCTTCTTAGTTGTGACCTGGGAGTAGAAGTGTGGGGAAGACCAATAGATCCGGTTTTCATCTAATGCGTGTTGTGTTCTTTTTTTTTGCTAATAGTCTCTCATATTTGATGAAGTTGACCTCTCCGATGCCAGCGTAGCTGAAGCAAGCACAAAAAATGCCAACAACAGCTTCACGGTAGGGTGCTGGTGTGTGAACTGTGTGCCGTGGCTTGTCTTAAGCATGTACAGCCCAGCTAACAAATGTTTGAAATTTATGCATAGTGAAGGTCTTACTAATGTGATGAACTCTGCTCAGTTCATTGTATCTCCCAACATCCAGTGATTACTTAGTAAACCTCAGGTTATGTGTATAGTTCAGGCTTTTTCCCTTTTCAGATTAATTTTAGTATGTGAAATTTTTAACTTCTTTTGATATTTCAGTTAATTCTGTTGTTCTCGAGTATACAAAAATTCGTTATTTGCAGTCTTAAAAATAAGATTTCTCTCCTTATAGTTTTGCTCTACTTACTGTCAATCAGATGCCATAGTTCATCCTTCCATGTCTTCTCCCATACATAATTTGTTATTTTTATATATTTTTTTATGATTACATTGCATTATGTGACACAGTTTTATAGGCACTGGGATTCCCCCCACCCCTCCCCAAACACTCCCCCCATGGTGGATTCCTCCACCTTGTTGCATTACCACAGTTCAGATTCAGTTGAGATTCTTTCCTTGCAAGCATCTACAAAGCATAGAGTCCAGCATCTTATTGTCCAGATAGGTTCAGTGGTTTCCTGGGGAGACCATCTCTGGTCTGAAGGTAGAGCCGGCAGAGTATCATCCCAATCAATTAAAAGCCCTGACATGACATCAGTAACAATTTATAATGTTATGGAATTAGTTTACATGGTATTGAGTAACCAACATGTTATAAGAGAGAAAAAAAAAGAGTGCAAATTCTGAACCACATCCTATGCTTTCTACATTGACACTTCAATTATTAGTTTATATACAACTGGGTTCCATACACCTTAAAATGGCTATAAATTCCTATTCAGCTGTCTCATGTCTATTTTAATTTTAGTATTTAGCAGTTTATAGCTTAAAGCATGATTTTGCAGAACCTGGCTGTTTTTCGGGTAGTCTAACTCTATAACTCTAACAAGACATATGTCAACAGTTTAGGTGAACAGTTTTAGGAGGGGTATGCAGAGAAATCTTAAATACCCCAGTGAGGAGCAACTAATCTTTGTGTCCCACCCAGTGAGTTATAAGTGCATCCCCGCTGACCGTTTCCTGTTTGTTTCTAATCTTTCCTTGCTGTTCTCTGTTTATCTATTCTCATTTTGTTTATTTGTTTGTTTGTTTTGAGGGGTTTCTGGAGCGATCCTGATGGTCATTATGAGAGAGGGTGGGAACACAAAGTTGGAAAGATTTGTTTATTTTTATTGGAAAGGCACATATACAGAGAGGAGGAAAAACAGAGAGGAAGATCCTCTGTCCAACAATGATTCATTCCCCAAGAGGCCACAATGGCCAGAGCTGAGCCGGTTTGAAACCAAGAGCCCGGAGCTTCCTCTGGGTCTCCCATGCGGGTGCAGGGTCCCAAGGCCTTGGGCCGTCCTTGATTGCTTTCCGAGGCCACCAGCAGGATGGGAAGTGGGATCGCAGGGATTAGAACCTGCATCCATATGGGATCCCAGCTCGTGTAAGACAAGGACTATAGCCACCACTAGGCTACTGTGTTGGACCTCTCCCTTAGGTAATTTGCTTGGTGGCTATATACAAGGTGTCCTTTAAGCTAGTTGCTGCTTTTCCATTCACAAACTGTATTGCTTAAAAGGCCTAGCTTATTCTCCATTGGCTGCAAATTGCTTCTGTAGTTCAGTCATAAAGTCTTACAGTATCCATGCCTCAGACCTCTTGTAGTACTGACAATTGGTTTATCCTTACTTGCCTACCCACAGTATCATTTCTGTCTTGTCCTGGGCTTTCCTGGTTGAAATCTTCCCAATTCTTTGAAGTTTAATTCAGTTATTCCATTCTTTGTAGGCTTCTTTCATTCAAAAATTACAAATTGAACTCATTTTATGTGCCAAGTGCTTGATGAAGCATAAGAAATGAAAAAACACATGTGCGCACACACATGTATGTGTGAATCTTAAAATTGCATATGTACTTACAATCTTAAAGATTTTATGCACATATTCATACATTCTTTTCCCTAAAAATACTCGTAGGGTTGTTTGCATAGCTCCCGGAAGTTCATGTGGAGGACGGTGGATAACATGTTCTGGTATGATGTGCTGTTTTGTTGGTGTTGTCCTCCTGCTCCACACTCCCGGTCCTCTGATGTGAGTGTGTTGTGTCCATCCACTAGGCATGCCAGGGCAGGGAAGACAGCCAGGTAAACAGAAACAAAGTAGTGCCATGATGGAGGTGAGCGTTGGAAGGGGTCTGGTGGGCGAGGCAGTGGATGAACTCAAAGTTAATCATATTGACTTATGGGCATGTGGAATAATTCATAGTGTAAATATTTCATTCCCTCTCCCCCACCCCCAGGGAGAATTTAGTTTGAGAAGAGAAAAGCCAAGAATAGAATCCTGGGAAAAATGTTAAAATGCAGGGTTTGGCCAATAAAGACCAAAGAGAGAACACTGAAGTACAGAAGGAGAGCCAGGAGGCAGCAATGGTATAACAATTCAGTGGAGGGGAGTTTTAAGGTGGAAGTTGTTAAGTATCACATACTATGGACAGGTCAAGTCAAAGAAGAGTTGAGAAGTGCTGTGGGATTTGTTAACTTGGAGGTCACGTGGTCTCGCTGATGGGTGTGGTTTCAGTTGAGGGGTGGCTTGCCCTTGTCTGCATTGTGACTGCCAAGTGAAGAGGACTCCGAGCCAGGCTAGGTGACTTTTGCTAAAAGGTGTGCTACTAAATGGAGAACAGTTATACCTAGAAGAATGCCTAGGGTGGAGGAGAGTTTGGATGTTTTTTTATGTTGCTACTCTTAGGCTTGTCTTTGGTTTTGAGTATGTTTATATGAAAAGAGATTGAGGATATTTCAGTTGAGGGAGGGAGGGTGAGGGATTGGAGCAAGAGGGCTTTCTCAGCCGAAAGTTTAGAAACCTGAAACAGGTCACAACATCAGCCGTGAGCAGAGAGCTTTGAGAAGCAGGAATGTGCAGCAAGTTCATACATTTCAAATTTGAATGCTGCTGTTTTCTCAGTGAAAATCAAAGCCAACGTTATCTGTTAGGAGAGTTAAGGAAGGGTCAGATGGTTTCTGTGAAAAAAATAGAATTGAAACTAAGCAGGGAAGTCACATAGAAGTAAATACGGGCAATTTTTCAAAAATTAGTTGCAAAATGTTTATTATGGAAAAGTTACACATAGGCTACAAAAGCTTTCCACAGCAAAGAAAACTTACATTTTAATTCCATTTTCTAAGAACTTTTTGCAATATCGTCATAGTGTCTGTCAAAATATAGGCAATCACATTTAGTCATGTCCTTAAGTTTTATGCATATTACATTCCCTTAAGTGGAAGCACAGAACAAACAAATGAATTGATCCAGGGTTGATGTGTTTATAGGACATATTGAACAGAATGACCAAAGGATTTCTGGGTGTTTGAGGGATCAATATAACTCATCAATCTTCATCAGAGGTCTCAGTTTTTGAAACTAGGGCACAAGAAGGGTTAATGGGTAAAAGAATCCAATAACTACTGAATACAGGGCTTCTGATAAGTTGTCAGAGGCCTGTGACAACAATGTTGTTTATTGCTTCCTCCCAGGTGAGTGTAGTTTAGCACGGGGACAGGAAGAACCTTGCCAGGCCTATACTTGCTTTCCCTTGGGTCCCGTTCCTTCTATGGAGATTCTTAGAGAGGAAAATAAGGAGATCTAAATTAATTTAAGAGGATTTCAAAAATTTCTGTTAAGATTTATTTATTTTCATTGGAAAGGTAGATTTACAGAGATAAGCAGAAACAGAATGGCCACAATAGCTGGAGCCGGGCTGCAGCCAGGATCCAGGAGCTTCCTCCCATCTCTCACATAGGTGCAGGGTCCCAAAAGTTTGGGCCATCCTCTACTGCTTTCCCAGGCCACAAGCCAGGGAGCTGGATGGAAGGTGGAGCAGCTGGGATATGAACCGGCACCCATATAGGATCCCAGCTCATGAAGGGCAAGGGTTTTAGCCATTAGGCTAAAGCTGGGCCAGGATTTTGAAACTTAAAGATTTAAACGATGTAAAAGTTTCAAGTGAATACACGATTTAGGGTTTGGAATAGACAAGAGCAAACAGACCTGAAAAGCACAGGTTGGGAGAAGAGATTCGATCCTTATTTAGTTCTCTGTTGGCCCTCCTACCGTAGACATGTGGTCTTTCCTGACTTGTCTTTCTTCTGGAATTTACCATATTCTGCCTTGGCTTCATAATGTCCTCGTAATACCTCATCTGTAAGTCTTGGGTGTTGTGTATTAGTAAGATACAAGTTTGTTTTATGCATGAGACTTTGTTGAAATATTTTGAAGAAATGTCTTTATTCAAGGACCTGTAATTTCTGAAGTTTGTTGGACTAGAACTGTGGAGACTAAGAGAGGCACATCGCTTAGTTCATTACCACAAATGAACTTTTCAGGACATTAAAATGGAGTAAGAGTTGTGTTTTCAACTAGTAATTGATCATCCTATTTTAAATATTTAAATATCCCACTTTTTTGGATTATACTGGCCACTACTACCACTATGTGATTTATTTTGTCTACCTCATGGTAGAAGTGAATAGTATAATTTGGTGACATCATGACTAGAGAACACAAGAGTGACCCAATTGTGCTCCATTATAGCCATAGTGATAAAGGAAAATGGGAGAAAAATCTATAAATAGTAAGTAAATGGAAAGTAGAAAATTTATTCTTGGCCTGAATATCTACTGCTGACACCTTTGGGAAAACAGGCCTTGCAAATGAAGGTTCTACAGGGTAAGGCAACCCCTGATGTAGCCTGAAAGCTGCCCAACACCGTTTCTGTTATCTTTGATTGATGTGAGTCAGTGAGGCTGGGCTAGCTTTAAGGGAGAAGGATGTAGACTCTATGATAGTATTGCGAACACAACCTGCAGACATGGTTAAAATCTGTGTAGCCTGCTTCCCCCATCTCTATAGCTCATCACTGTCCTTTTTT